TACAACGGTATACAATGTAACCTGTTGAAACCATAACATTAAGCCCAATCTTCTGTAGGATAGAAAATCCACTTTAGAACCCATTAAAGTAACAAGGATGGGAGGAATTGACAAGCATTCCAACCTTTAAGAATGAGTGTGACGATAATTTGTTCAAGCTCATTCAAATGGCAAAAATATAAGAGGCCATAATTCCTATCCTTTCCATTGCAATATTTGTGTCCTGGCTTTTGTCCCAAAAGCTTTATTCTTTTTCACAAAAAAGCACCAAACCAAAACCAATGTTTCATGCCTCCAAAGAATGCCTACTTCAAGTCCCCCAAACTTCATAAAGGATGTTTCCACTTGAGAGGATACACAAAAGGGGCTCACCAACTACTAATATTCCTAATGAAAAGGCTATGCAAGAGAGTAGTTGGGGATCTCTTAAGGAAGAGAGAGACAATTGTACAAAAATGCTATCTCCGTTACAAATAGCAAATGTGCGAGGAAAGCAAGTTTTCCTATGTGTTCTTTCTTAAAGCATCACAAACGTAATAAACTTCCTCCCAAAAAAAATATATCAATCAAACAAAAGTCTTGACCATTTGGGGACCTATGAAAGCAAGGAGAGGAGTCATGATGAAAATTGAACCAAAAAGAAAGAGAGAAGGCACAATGAAAGGAAGACATCACTGATGTAATTATGCAGAGAAGATAGCTTAAGGTTATAAAAAATTAGATTCCAGAAATCAAGGAAAAAATTGTGGTTAGAAGAGAATAGTGGCCCTAAAATTTTGACAATAGGTTAAGGCAAGAACTCATGACCCTGACACAACGCAATATCCTCCCTAGAGAGGATGATGAATCCATCGCCCAAAAAACTACCTGTAATGATGAAGCAGCTTGTTTCTCATCACTTTGATGAAGTTCCATAACAATTAAATTTGGAGCTGCCATCAAAATTTCCTTCTTTCTTCTTTTTAACTTTCATATTATGGCAATGATGATATCCTACCACTTTTCATAGACACGGGTTGCATCGTTTCAAATACTCTATCCCCACCAGGTTTGCTCCTCATGTTGTGATACGTTCACCAATAACCTTAAGCGAGGATAACCATTTTTTAATTCCCAACTCTGAACCTCTCCATTATCTCGGCAAATGGAGTTTGTGTAAACCCAAAGCCTGTCCACCCAAATTAAGTCTTAGAGTGCATCTATTACTAATGTTTCTTTGTTGCTAATGCTGAAAAACTTCCAATTTTCATATGTTTATTTGGCTTGAACATCATTAGTAAGTTCCCTTGGCAATGGATTAGCCAGCCAGATGGTCACTTTTCTGTCTAATCAAAGATAGGAGAGGCGAGAGTCAGCCTAGAATCCATTTCACTAATTTGTCATTTCTCTTGTATAGTCTTTATGATGCTAATCTAGAATCTTCCTTCTTGCGGTTGCAATTGCATTATGATTTTAGTGTGAATTCTTTAGTAGTGAAACACATTACGATTGAAGTATGAGTTCTTTAGTAGTGAAACACAATTTCAACATTCAAGTATTGACAACTTTCCCTACATAAAGTACTTCTTTGAGTAAGAAGATTCCCTAAAATTGTGCTAAGGCAGTAAGTCGTTGAGCGAATATGTTCCCTCAATAGAAATGAATGATTGATTGTTAAATGCTCAATGTCTTCTAAATGATATCCTTGTCATCAGAGAACAATTTACATGTCTTATTTTTATTCACTGTTCTTCTAAGATGTTTGTTGGCATTTAATGATGTCCATTGAGAGACGTTTTATCTCCCTTTCTTTTTACTTTACTCTAATTGCTAATGGCTTTAGTAGATTAGTCAAGAGAGCAAAGAGATGTAATTTTGTGGAAGGATTTATAGTGGGAAGGGATTGGAAAACAGACTCACATTTGAAATTTGTTGATGATACAATATTCTTTTATGAGAGAGATGAGCAAATAATTTTAAATTTATAGAATATTGTGTAGGTGTTTAGCATTATGTCAAGACTCAGGACTGAAGTTGAATATGAATAAAAATCTGCTTGTAGGTATAAATTCAAACCTGGATAAAATTAGTATAGTTGCACATGGGTTTTGGAGTGTAAAGTAGAGGCTTAGCTTCTTAAGTACATAAGTTTACCCTTGGGTGGGAATCCATTAACACTATCTTTTTCGGATCTAATGGTGGAGAGAGTGGGAAAAAGATTAAATAGTTGCAAGGATCAAAATATCATTTCAAAACGGTTGAAACGTCTGAAACATTTCCGTTTTCAAGGAGACCGAAACGAAACAGTGATGAAATCGAAATTCTGATATTTCAAGGAATTCCATAATGTTTTTAAATGTATTATAATATTTCAATACATTTGCACAATTGTTTTAGAATGTTTCAAGGTATTTCAAAATATTTTGATATATTTCCATCAATGTTTTAAAAAAATAATTCTTAAATTTTTTATTTTTTTCATTATGTTTTCGAAACATTTTTGAAACACGTCGAAATGTTTCCGTTTCCTAGGTGACCGAAACAATACACCGAAACGATAGTTTGACCCTTGGATAGTTGGAAAAGAAATTTTTATTTCTAGGGGGAGGTTAACATTGGTGCAATTAGTATTAGCTAGTATTCTCACATATTTTTTATCCTTATTTAGGCTGTCAAGCAAGGTTGCCATGGAGATGGAAAAAATGATGACGGACTTTTTGTAGAAAGGAAGTGGTGAATGGAGGAAGGATCACTTGATTGGTTGGCAAGTGGTTTCTAGACATAGGGATAAAGGTGATATTTCAATTGATAATTTGATGGCAAGAAATATTTCTTTAGTGGGTAAGTGGCTTTGGTGATTTCCTTTGGAACAAAATGCTCAGTGGCATTTAGTTATGAAGAATAAATATGGATTACAAGCTAATGGATGAGACACTAATAAGGTTAAAAGGGAAAGTTTCCGAAGCCATGGAAATCCATATCCCAGGGAATGACGAGGTTACCTAAAAGGTTATGTTAGTAGTGAGGAATGTAACGAGAATTCGATTTTGGGAGTAAATATGGGTGGGAAAGCCATCTTTTTCCTACTTGTTTTCACGTCTCTATCATTTATCTTCCTACCTGGGTGCAACCATTAATTTTATGATTGGATTTATAATCCACCGTATTCTTGGGATTTTGGTTTTCGTAAGAATTTTGGTGATAGGAATATAAGTGATGTGTTATCACTGTTGAATATTCTTAATAATTCTTTGTTGTGGTAAGTGTCATGCGATAAAAGAAGGTTAGCCCTTGAGTATTCAGGTGGTTTTTCTTATAAATCCTTTTATGATTCTCTCTTTGATGATTCTTTGCGCCCTTCTGATGATTTGGAAAGTTAAAGTGCCAACTAAAGTGCAAGTTTTTTCAAGGACTTGCACATGGTAAGATAATGATATGCTTCATAAGGGAAAGCCTCATTCTTATCTTTGTCTGCATGCAGTGGAGTCATGTGTGCAGGGGATTATGAAAGCATTGATCATTCTTTTCTACATTACCCTATTGCGTTATCATTATGGTACAAGTTATTTGCATTGGTGGGTTTGAATTGGGTGATTCTCGTTTCAGTTACATCTTTACTCATTGAAGAATTGATAGATCTTGGGATAAATGCTAAAGGAACGACACATTGGAACTGCGTCATGTTTGCTAGTTTGTGGGTTATTTGAAAGGAAAGAAATGTAAGAGTCTTTGAATACAGAGTTGAGTGCTTGGATGGTTTATCAGATCATATTTATTTCTTGGCATCATTTTGCTTTGGTTACTAAGGATTTCAAAGCAATTCATCTCCTTGCAATTTTGATGGGATGGCGAGCTTCATGTGATACATGGGTTGTTTTATGTATTTAATTATATTGATTATGATTTCCTTTGATTGGATGGATTTCTTATCCAACCATTATGATATACATTAAATTATATTAGTAGAAGTTTTCATTTCCTATCAAAAATGTCCATTGAAAGCAAATCACAAGTCTTGACATCTGATGAGACACTAACATCAAAAATAAATTAAAGGGAATGCTCTCGGATTTTTGCCTTACTTTCATGCCGATTGAGTCCAAGCATTCCTCCTTAGAAGTATGCAAAAGTAAACACACGAGTTTTCTTTGGCATTAGTTTGCACCATCACTAACTCTCATCAACAATAGATCAAAAGGCATTGTAGAAGACAAGTTACATTATAGAGGATAATTGACCACGATTACGAAGTGAAATGTATCAAATTGTCTACTGTTAAGTTCTGGGGCAAATAAACAAAACCAACAAGATTCCCAAAAAATTTGTGTTGTTGAGATATTTAATAGCATGAAGCTATTTTTGCTTGAAGTATAACTACTTTAATTTCCTCACCTGCTTATTAGTCCTTCCAGAACCAAATCTTACAAGGCAATATTCTTCTAAAGTATCCAAATTAGTTGTACAAGGCTTAGGAAAATAACCGAAAGACTCGATAATATTAGCTAATGAATTTCCTCGTATTATAAGTACAATCTTGATTTGAGTATGTCCCACAGCGCTATGAATAGCAACAAACCCCCCCAAAAAAGACATTATATTCTAATAATCTCCATAGCAATTTTCCAACCAAAACATTATTTGCAGCAATTGCATTACCCAAAGCAAGCAACATTTATCGTCCAAGTGGCAAAAATGATAAAAATAAAAAAACAAAACATTCGTTATGCGATCCTTCATCTACTCAACCTCCCACATCAGGGTGTTTTTCGTTTCACCCTTTATTTCCCACTAGACCAAAAACCTACTTGAAAAAAAAATAGTTGGATATACTTGTAGGCTTGTAGCTACAACTAAATAAGTGAAAGTGTGAAACAATCAAAAATTAGCCCCTTCAACCTAGATAGCCTTTTTCCCACCTCAGTTTACCGTCTCTAATCTCAAGAGTTGTCAGAAATCTCATTTATCTTTAATCATAATCTGCAGCTTTCTAAAGTCAAAACCAAATGGAATCCACACACAAGCTACTCAGTACTGTGTGGGTAACCCAACAAACAAAATATGAAATCAACGTGCATATAAATTCATAACTATCCACTTCGTTGATAATCTTATATTATTTTGTTGCAATGCAAAAGAGAGGAATAAGGTGTGTACCATTGGATGACGCCAATTCCATGTGTTTCTTCTCCATTAGACGACAAGTACCCATTGACTTTTTCACAAAATTCTCTTCCCAACATGTTGTCGAGAGCAATATCAATATCATCACTATCTTTGCCTAGAAGCTGCAGTAAAAATAATTAACAAAAGATATACAGTAACCCAAAAACATAAAAAAGAGAATCTGGACTAATTAAGTGCAATATAAAAAAAATTCCAAAGTATAGATCAAATGTATTCAGCATTTTTGCTTATAGATGTGCATTTATATGCACATACATCTATTTAAACTGACTTCAAAAAGAAAATTCACTGGCAGCGTTGGTGTTGGCGTCAAGAAATGAAGTCCATAAATTTAAAACTGGAGAAAATTAATTTAAACTCTTATAATCACAATTCTAATGCCAAGGACTTAACTCAGCACAATTCCATCAGCCAAAAGCACTCCAAAGATAAATTTGGCAACTTGAAATCCAAAAAAAAAATAGCATTGCAAGGAATTGATCACTCATAAGGAGGGACGTTCAAAACAATCTGAAACTTCCACATCCCTATTTCGCTCTATACACTCGGAAGCATCTCGCATGAAGTTTTACTAGAAAACACATACTTCAATCCAAACAAACAGAACATACACAAAATTTACCATACATACAACAAAAAGAAAACACAAATTTTCAGAGAAAACAAACAGATAGTGATAGAAGATGGACCTTATCACGAACCCAACCACCGGCGACACGGAGTTGAGTCTGGAGATTAAAATGCCGTAGAACCTGAAGAAGTCGGTCGAATATCTGCCTCTCCTTGTCTGTCAAATCGATTTTGTCTCGCACTGGAACGGATGGCGGAGATGCTGCAGTTACAGCCGACATTGACTCTGTTGCTCTGTGACGATAGCAAAACCTTAGGGTTTTACGTTGAGACGATATTGAGGTTTTAACGATTTTGAGAAATGAGAGAGGAAAGAAAGTAGTCTGAGAGATACGGAGAGTGAATAGGCTGCGAGTGTTGTTCAAAGCAAGCACTAATTTCATTGTTTATTGTCGCATGTATGAAGTTGCTCTTTATTTCCTTTAATCCTATCCAGCAAAAGACGCCTGCGAACATATTTAAATAGTTTATCAAAAAAAATATTTAAACAGTAATTATTTTATAAAAATATTAAATTATATTTATAATTAAATTAAATAATAAATTATATATCAAATAATTAACTCTCATTTTAATTATTGTTAAACCTTATTATTGATATATTCTACCGCTCTTTGAATATTTAATTTGTCAATTTATTTGGTATCTCCCCGGCTGCGGGCTTAGATATTTTATCTTTTGTTTATAATGAAGTTTCATTATAATATTGTCATTCATAAATTTTTACACACCTAATTATAGTATGAAAATTATTATATTTTTTGTCAAATAGATTGATTAGATTGTACTACTATTGTTTTTATTATGGTATTATTACATACCAAAAAAATTAAATATGACTTATATTTGACCGTAGAATTTTATCCCGCAACTACATATACTTTACTGCTTACAGCCAAAATATTAAAATTTAAGGGTGATAGGTGAAAGTGATCTAAGGGTCACAAAGGAGTCAATGAGAGTCCAAGCTTAATAGAATGATTGAGGAAGTGAGACTTTAAGAATCTTAGGAAACGAGGAAATGTGACATCATGACCAACCAGTTAAAGACGATTTAGTGCACATCTACATATCTCAAGGAAAAAAGTCATGATTACAATTATGGCCAGAAAAGATGGTTTTCAACAGATAGGAGTCATCTCTTATAAATATCGAAGGCAATGTTATAGAAACAACTATCCCTCAATCAACACAACAACTCTATANCCGCGGGCTTAGATATTTTATCTTTTGTTTATAATGAAGTTTCATTATAATATTGTCATTCATAAATTTTTACACACCTAATTATAGTATGAAAATTATTATATTTTTTGTCAAATAGATTGATTAGATTGTACTACTATTGTTTTTATTATGGTATTATTACATACCAAAAAAATTAAATATGACTTATATTTGACCGTAGAATTTTATCCCGCAACTACATATACTTTACTGCTTACAGCCAAAATATTAAAATTTAAGGGTGATAGGTGAAGGTGATCTAAGGGTCACAAAGGAGTCAATGAGTGTCCAAGCTTAATAGAATGATTGAGGAAGTGAGACTTTAAGAATCTTAGGAAACGAGGAAATGTGACATCATGACCAACCAGTTAAAGACGATTTAGTGCACATCTACATATCTCAAGGAAAAAAGTCATGATTACAATTATGGCCAGAAAAGATGGTTTTCAACAGATAGGAGTCATCTCTTATAAATATCGAAGGCAATGTTATAGAAACAACTATCCCTCAATCAACACAACAACTCTATACAGAGTCAACATCTCTTTTACTTTGTTTATTTCCTCGCAAACTCTTTTAACTTGTAATCCATCACTCTAGTGATTTTTCTTTATGTTTAATGTTAATTATAGTAGTCTTTTCATCTAAAAATTCCAGTTCTTTTGTTACTTGATCTCCAAGGCATAGAAAAAAACTCGTAAGTAACTTTACACTTCACTACAATCACCTAAATAGTCACGATGTAAGAGCCTCACATTGGTTCGAGTAAGTAAGATCATATGTGTGTGTGGATCCCAAGTCCAGTTGGAATTTGGCACACCTGCAATTCAAAAATATGTCAAACATATTTTTTGGCACATTCATGGGACCCAAGGTAGCAGTATGTCAAACCCCCATGGAAAAGGCCAAAATTGGCTCATCAAAAATGCCTTTAATGCACAAAGTTGTAGAAAAAAGGCAGGTCTGACATTCCCAACCTACAGGAAGAATTGTCTGTCGCCAAGGGGCAAAAAATTGAGAATTTGACTTAGACCTGGAGGCATCGATTAAATCATTTTCCCAATAAGTTTTCCAACAAATTTCTAGATTTATCAATGGTTTTTGAAACTTAACATGAGAGGAATCTGGCCACACCACGTATGCACTAGAGCGGCTATTTAATAGCTTGAATCACCCAGGGCGTGCAAGGCAGCCATCATTACCCCTAGTGCAAGCCGTTCCNCTGCGGGCTTAGATATTTTATCTTTTGTTTATAATGAAGTTTCATTATAAAATTGTCATTCATAAATTTTTACACACCTAATTATAGTATGAAAATTATTATATTTTNACTTTTCCAATAAGTTTTCCAACAAATTTCTAGATTTATCAATGGTTTTTGAAACTTAATATGAGAGGAATCTGGCCACACCACGTATGCACTAGAGCGGCTATTTAATAGCTTGAATCACCCAGGGCGTGCAAGGCAGCCATCATTACCCCTAGTNTTTTGTCAAATAGATTGATTAGATTGTACTACTATTGTTTTTATTATGGTATTATTACATACCAAAAAAATTAAATATGACTTATATTTGACCGTAGAATTTTATCCCGCAACTACATATACTTTACTGCTTACAGCCAAAATATTAAAATTTAAGGGTGATAGGTGAAGGTGATCTAAGGGTCACAAAGGAGTCAATGAGTGTCCAAGCTTAATAGAATGATTGAGGAAGTGAGACTTTAAGAATCTTAGGAAACGAGGAAATGTGACATCATGACCAACCAGTTAAAGACGATTTAGTGCACATCTACATATCTCAAGGAAAAAAGTCATGATTACAATTATGGCCAGAAAAGATGGTTTTCAACAGATAGGAGTCATCTCTTATAAATATCGAAGGCAATGTTATAGAAACAACTATCCCTCAATCAACACAACAACTCTATACAGAGTCAACATCTCTTTTACTTTGTTTATTTCCTCGCAAACTCTTTTAACTTGTAATCCATCACTCTAGTGATTTTTCTTTATGTTTAATGTTAATTATAGTAGTCTTTTCATCTAAAAATTACAGTTCTTTTGTTACTTGATCTCCAAGGCATAGAAAAGAACTCGTAAGTAACTTTACACTTCACTACAATCACCTAAATAGTCACGATGTAAGAGCCTCACATTGGTTCGAGTAAGTAAGATCATATGTGTGTGTGGATCCCAAGTCCAGTTGGAATTTGGCACACCTGCAATTCAAAAATATGTCAAACATATTTTTTGGCACATTCATGGGACCCAAGGTAGCAGTATGTCAAACCCCCATGGAAAAGGCCAAAATTGGCTCATCAAAAATGCCTTTAATGCACAAAGTTGTAGAAAAAAGGCAGGTCTGACATTCCCAACCTACAGGAAGAATTGTCTGTCGCCAAGGGGCAAAAAATTGAGAATTTGACTTAGACCTGGAGGCATCGATTAAATCACTTTTCCAATAAGTTTTCCAACAAATTTCTAGATTTATCAATGGTTTTTGAAACTTAATATGAGAGGAATCTGGCCACACCACGTATGCACTAGAGCGGCTATTTAATAGCTTGAATCACCCAGGGCGTGCAAGGCAGCCATCATTACCCCTAGTGCAAGCCGTTCCCGAAAAAGTACCACAGTCAATGCTTCCTCCATATGTGTTACCCCAAAGGACATAGTAAGCCAAGAATAGCCCTTGGAGAAACTACAACACTCTATTCCAAGAGGACACTGCCCTAATTCCTGAGTTTGGGGGGCAAAGGAGATAACTACCAATTGTCTTACTAGTGGCACCCCAGGTGGTCATGAATAGGGACCAACTGGATGAAATTATCCAAGAGCGTGACGGGCCCATCATGAGGCAAGTGACCAGACCGACATATCGGAACCGATACCCTAACTGGGGTAGATAGAGAGTATGAGTATCCTCAAGGGTACAAGGTCTCAATTTTTGCTACTTTCTTTGGGGAAGATGGTAAGCCAATCGTAGAGTGCNCAGGTGGTCATGAATAGGGACCAACTGGATGAAATTATCCAAGAGCGTGACGGGCCCATCATGAGGCAAGTGACCAGACCGACGTATCGGAACCGATACCCTAACTGGGGTAGATAGAGAGTATGAGTATCCTCAAGGGTACAAGGTCTCAATTTTTGCTACTTTCTTTGGGGAAGATGGTAAGCCAATCGTAGAGTGCATTAGGCACTTTATCGTGCAATGGGTGAGGCAAGGACAAATGAGTTTTTGAAGCTAAGGTTGTTTGCTAATCCCTTAGTGGAACAACCTTTAGATGGTATATTGACCTACTACCTAACTATGTGTTAAGTTGGCCATAGTTAGAAGATAAATTTCATGCTTAGTTTTACCATATTGAGTCTAAAGTGGCTATAGCGTCTTGGCTAGGTTGTACCAGATTGACAAAAAAGACTACGAAGTAGTACATTTGCAGGATTCAAGAAGGCTAAGAACAAATGTTGGTTGGCTTTGCCCAAGATGGAGTACGTNTACATTGCGGGATTCAAGAAGGCTAAGAACAAATGTTGGTTGGCTTTGCCCAAGATGGAGTACGTTCGCATTGTGTAGAATGATTTTGACTTTAAACTTTAGAATAAATTTGAAGGGATGGACTTCAATGACTTGTTTGAGTAGGCGACACGAGCTACATATTATGAACAGATTCTAAAAGAAGAAATGGATAGAAGAAACGCATCCAAGGGTACCTACTATCGGGACCTCAATACAGAGATCTTCATAGTCGAGATAGACTAGGAATTGGAGGTTAACATAATAGAGATTGTGGCCAGACAACCACATGTATGCAAGGCCTTGGCCAGGGCCTCAGAAGATTAAGCACAATCCTCATCAAGTGTCGATAAGGGAACCATTGACAACCACCAAAAATATGACTTTGATATCTCGAAGGCCAATCAAAATTTCTACCATTTGCTTGCAAATGGTATTATGAAGTTATCATTTGGTCACAAGTTTTCCTTAGC